GCGAAGGGGCCCGTGAAGTTCTCTCCTGTCCCCTTCCCGCCCGGGGCGGCCAAGTGCTGCGCCTGCTACACTTCGGTGAGCAGTGGGCCACCAAATTTGAAACATTCTAACAAACAAAACAAACAATCCACTAGAAGCATCCCCACACGCCAAAAACAAACAAGCCCATAGCAAACCCCATCTGGCCCTCCCCCCCTTGGGGTGCCCAGGTGCCACGCCGCCTCCTGCACCATGGCGAGCAGTGGGCCCATCAAGTCGGGAACGGCTCGGGGACAGAGGCCGGCCAACTGTGCGAAGCGTCCCCCCCAGGTCGGGCGCGAGCGGGCCTGTGAAGTACTTGCCCGGCGCCCCCCCCCCCGGGGTACCCAAGTGTAGCGCCTGCTATACCGTGGTGAGCAAAGGACCACCAAACGAGCGAAGTCTGTCGGGCAGAAGCAGGTCATCCACTTCAAACCCCCCACCACCTGGGCCCGAAGGGGCCTGTGAAATACCCCCCTGGCGTCCCCCCCTTGGCGTGCCCATGTGCTGCGCCTGCTGCCTCGCGGCGAGCAGTGGACCACAAAAGAAAGCATGTGGGCAGAAGCCGGCAAGCTGTGTGAAGCATCCCCGCAGTGTGGGCGCGAACGGGCCCGGGAAGGACTCCCCTGGCGCCCCCCTTTTTTGGGGGGGTACCCAGGTGCAGCGCCTGTGATACCGCGGTGAGCAACGGGCCACCAAAGGAGAAACCGGTGGGGGTGGCAGAAACAAGCACACCGCTTGAGGCATCCCCGCAATGTGGGCGCGAATGGGCGCGTGGGATACCTCCTCGGCGGCTCCCCTGCTGAGATGCCCAATTCCCACGACGACCATATCGCAGTGGGCTGTGGACCACCAAAAGAGAGAAACGTCTCGGGGGTCAGACACGTGCAGAGCGCGTGAGACCCCCCCGCAGTGTGGGTGCGCACGGGCCCGTGAGCGTCCTCCTGGCGCCCCCGCTTGGGGTGCCCAAGTGCCACGCCTACTACAACGCGGTGAGCAGTGGACCACCAGCAGAGAACAGTTGTGGGGGGCAGAAACAGAGGCACACCGTCTGAGACATCCCCGCAGTCCGGGCCCCTGAACTACCCCTCTGGCGGCTCTCCCTGGGGCTGTTGAAGCCAGCGCCTCGCTCGAGACATCCTCACAGCCGCGCATTGGCTGAGAGAGGATTCATTGGCTGACGCCGCACCGCCGACCCCTTGGGGCGGCAGTAAGAGTCAAAAACGGACTTTGCGGAACGATTTCTGGGGCATCTTGGGTTTTCAGCTTCTTGGGATTTCGTCGGGGGCGGTTGACAGATCGCCGCTCTGCTCTTGGGCTTCTCTGGGCTCTCCTGGCAGCACTTTTGAAGCCTCTTGGAAGCCGTTTTGAGGCCTCTAGGAGCCTCTTTTGGGCCTCTCGGGGGCCTCGCGGGAGCCTCTTGGGGGCCGATTGGCGCCTCCTCAGGTTTTTTTTGTGGCCGAGTGCTCGAAATGTTCATTCGGGTTCCCCCTCTGGGCCTCCTCTTGGGGCCGTCCTGGGGCCCTCCTGGGTCGTTTTGGAAGCTTCTGGGGCCGTCTTGGGGCCCTCTTGGGCCGTCTTGGAGCCGTCTTGGGGGCCTCTTGGGCTATCTTGGGTCGATCTCAAAAGCTTCTTGGGCCGTTGTTGGTCTCGTGAAAGCCCAAGAGGCGAATGTGCTAAAGATATACGTCTTCCCTCGGGACTGGGACGACTTTTGCTTCTGGAGGGCCTCTGGGGACGCCTCTTGGTGGCTTCTTGGAGCGTTTGGGGGGCCTCTGGGACCGTCTGGAGGCGATCTTTGGCGTCTTGGAGCGATCTTCCGGCGACTCGCAGCCCTCTTGGACCGTCCAGGGGGCGTTTTGGGGCCTTCTTGGCCCGTTTTGGGGCCCCCTGAGGCTCCAAGGGTGCGGCTGGCACCTTTGCCCCTCCCCCACCCCCCTCCAAACCGGCCGGACCGGGCTCCCGGGGGAGGGGTTTTGGGAGGGGGAAGCATCTCACACGCTGTGGCCCCAAGGGGTCGGCGGATTTGAGTATGAATGAGTCTGAGTGTGAGTGAGTCTGAATATGGGTGAGTCTGAGTATGCGTGAGTCTGAGTGTGAATGAGTCTCGGTATGAGTGAGTCTGATTGCAAGCGATTATGAGTTTAGTGTGTGCGTTGATCTTGCTGAGATTGAGTGAGTGAGTGAGTCTGGGTGTGAGTGAGTCTGAGTGCGAAACTGTGTTTGAGTGACCCTTGGTGCGATCGAGTCTGAGTGACAGCGGTTCTGGCTGTGAGTGTGAGTGCGACTGAGTCTGAGTATGAGTAGAGTCCGAGTGAGAATGGGTGTGACGTGGGTGAGGGAGGAAGAGGAGTGATTTGAGTGTGAGTTGGGCGTGGGTGGTCTGAGTATGAGTATACGAGCGATTCAAGCGAGGAAGAGGGAGATGACATAATCGCCAACGTAATAACGAGAACCCCATCTTTGGACATGAGGAAACAGCCGAAAGCCTCGATCTCCGAACCTCGACGGAGGACGGACAGCGGAGGAGCGCGGGGGGCCCGCGCCAGTCCCGACGGCCGCCCCCGCCCCCCGTCCGCAGACTGCCTCTTTGCCCGTCTGCTGCTGCTGCCGCTCCCCTCCTCCGCTCTCACGTTCCCCCCCTCCTTGCCTGGCCAAGGAGGGCACGGCAGGTTCATGCGGCGTCGGCGCGCCAGCGAGGCCGGCGAAGGCGTTCAAGGTTGAAGTCTGCGCATGATGGAGCGACGCGGAAGCACCGAGGGTTTTGGTAACGCCACAAGGCCCCGACGGAGCTCAACCTTGATCGAGCGGTGCCGCGATCGATTCAGGGTTGAACGACTGACGCTGTGTCGAAAACCTTGGCGTGCATCGAGACGCCGCGCGGACCTGCCGCCAGTTCTGGCCCGTCACGCTGTGGAGACGCCATGCGATTCCCTCGGGCGGGCAGTCATGGGGGGGGGATCCAAAGGGGGGTTGAAGACACAGGCCCTGAAAGGGGGCCTTTGGGGCACCTTTTGACCACTGGCTCCACGGGGGCTAAAGTCGGGCGACGAAATCTATACATATCCACTGCTCCCTGACCATGCCCATCTTGAACCCAGGAGCTGTGTATGCGCCCTCCTGGCCAAGCCAGGAGGGCGTGGCGTATACACCGCTGCGGGGTTGAGGATGGGCCTGGCCAGGGAGCAGTGGATATGTATATATTTCGTCGCCCCATAAAGAACGAGGCCCTGCAGGGCCCTTCTTCTTTAGCCCCCGCTCGGGGCCCCTTTCAGGGCATCCTGCTTCGCCCCCCCACGGAGGAGGAGGAGGAGGAGGAGGAGGAGGAGGAGGAGGATGAGGGAGGACGAGGAGGGAGGGAGGAGGAGAGAGGGGAGGAGGAGGAGGGAGGAGGGAGGAGGTAGGAGGAGGAGGAGGAAGGAGGAGGAGTAGGAAGGGAGGAGGAGGAGGAGGATGAGGAGGAGAGGGAGGAGGAGGAGGAGGAGGAGGAGAGGAGGAGGAGGAGGAGGAGGGGGAGGGGGAGGAGGAGGAGGAGGGAGGAAGGAGGAGGAGGAGGAGAGGAGGAGGAGGAGAGGAGCGTGGGAGGATGAGAGGAGAGGAGGAGGGAGGAGGATACCGCCCGCCCGATCCCCGTCCCAGTCCCCGAGCGTCCGCGCCCCGAGTAGTCTCTCCTCGAGCCCCCCGCCCCGCAGAGCGGAGGGACGCGCCCTCCGCTCGCAGGGGCACGGCGTGTCGCGCTGGGGGTCGCCGCCGCGGCAGGCCAAGCAGAAGCTCTCCCGGCCGCAGCATGCTCTGTATGGGGCAGTCATCGCCCCCTCCTTGGATCCGCTGGGGGGGTTGGGCACGTGCTGTCGGAACGGGCGGATGGGGGGGTGGAGGAGGAGGAGGAGAGGGAGGAGGGGGAGGCGGAGGAGGAGGAAGAGGTGGAGGAGGAGGAGGAGGAGGAGGGGGGGATGGGCCAGCTCCGTTGGAAGGTCAGTCGCCCACCCCTCGATTCATATCCCACCCGGAGTACGTTCCGCAGACACACCAAAGAAGAAACTGGCCTGCCAGCGGGCGTCCCACGACAAACCTCCTACCTCCCGATGGGTCCTGGGGTACCCTACGCAGCTCCGAGCCGACGAGGTATGTGCCCGTAGATTCCTCATATCAGGATTTCTTCTCGCATGTGCCCAGAGGTCCAACGCATTAAAAATCATCAAGGCGGAGGTTTGTCACAGTTTTCGGCCTCTGGGAGCCCTCGCTGGGCCCCAGGACCGTGAAAAAACAACTCAGGATGAAGCACCTGTCCCCGGGGCATGGGCCGAGACTTTTGGGGGGCCCCGCTCGGATCTCTCGGCGCGGCTGCTGCATCGAGAAAGCTGCCACGAGCATAATCTGCTGGAGGTCGGCGCGGATGTTTTTTGTCCAGCGCTGGACCCCCCCTCCCCGGCGCGCGGAGCGCGCCAGGGGCGGCGCCGGAGGTGCCGCCACAGGAGGGGTCCAGCGCCGGTCCGAGACATCTACGCCAACCTCCGACAGTTTGTGCTCGCGCAGTGGCTTTCCTCCTCGGCCGTGGCCGCAGGCCGCAGGGAGCCTGCCCGGTGGCGCTCGGCTGTGCCGACCGCTGGAGACCCTCGCCCTCATTCTTCCAGACCTTCCGCGCGGACCTTCCACAATCATGCGCTTCGTGAAATGCTAAGTTCTCTTGCGCTTCCTGAGGCTTTCAGCAGTTTCCATGCATCACCCTCCGCGCCATCCGCAGAGGTCGGAAGGTATGGACGATGGAGGTGGAGGGGAGTCACGCCGTGCGAAGCCCCCCCCGTTCGGGCGAAGAGAACTATGCACATGCACCGATCCTGGCAAGGCCCATCCTTGACCCAGGATCGGTGCATATGCCTCCCTGGCCAAGGTAGGAGGGCGTATGCACCGATCCTGGGCTCAGGATGGGCCTGGCCAGAATCGGTGTATGTGCATAGTTGTTTTTCCTTTACCCGTGACAGGTGTGCGGGGCCAGGCGGGGTGAGCAGCAACGCGGCCATGATGGGCATCTCTCCGGCACCGCCCCCGCGCCGCCTCGCCGCGAGGTGGTCGCCGCCGCCGCCACCAGAGCTGCCGCCGCCGCCGAAGCAGGCGTCGTCACCGCCCGTCGTCGTCGCCGCCGCCGCCGCGCCGTCGTCGTCGTCGTCGTCGTCGTCGTCGTCGTCGTCGTCGTCGTCGTCGTCGTCGTCGTCGTCGTCGTCGTCGTCGTCGTCGTCGTCGTCGTCGTCATCGCAGGTGTCGCCGTCGCCGTCTTGCTCTTTTGCCGCCTCCCTGCCCGCCGTCTGGTCTCCAGATGCCCCTTTGCGGCCGCCGTGGGCATCTTGGGGGCCCCAGGGGGCCTTCAGAGACCTCCAGTCAGAGGCTTCGGAGGGTCTCGGCTTTGTCGAGGACCGAGGAACGAGGGAAAAGAAAGTGGTCTGGTGGGAGGGGAGGGTATCTCTCTTTCACATATATTGATGTATGTATAACAATTCATGCATGTACATATATATATATGTATATATATATATATGAATATGAATGTGTTCATGTGTTCATGTGTAATATATATATATATATATATATATATATATGTACACATGTGCGTATTCCCAGGCTCCCAGCGTTGTTGCTGTAGGGGTGAAAAGATGGCGTTTCGTTTTTTTTTGAGGTCCTTCTTGCCTCGACACCGCCTGCGCGCTCCGCGGACTCCGATCCTGCGCCTCCCTCCGCTGGCAGCCCGTGATGCCTGCGCCGCACCCAGAGCGCCGCCGCCGCCGACGCCGAAGCCGCCGCTGCAGACGCCGACGGCGCCGCCGCCGACGACGCCGACGCCCACGACGACGCCGACGGCGCCGCCGCCGACGGCGCCGCCGCCGACGACGCCGACGCCGATGACGCCGACGCCGACGACGCCGAAGACGTCGACGACGACAACGCTGACGCCGACGCTGCCGACGACGCCGACGCCGATGACGCCGACGCCGACGACGCCGAAGACGTCGACGACGACGACGACGACGCCGACTCCGACGCTGCCGACGACGCCGACGCCGATGACGCCGACGCCGACGACGCCGAAGACGTCGACGACAACGACGACGACGCCGACGCCGACGCCGACGATGTCGCCGACGACGAGCGCGCCCGCGACCGCCCCTCGCGGGCTCCAGCCAGGTGCCGCCCGGCACGCCCCGTTGGCCGCCGGTGCGGCCCGCGATGCCCTCGCCGCGCTTGGCCGGGAGCGCCAGCCGCTCGGCCGCCCGCGGCGGGCGGCCGCCGCTGCCGCGACCGCGGCGGCACCGTGCTCGGCGGGGCTGCGCCGCTCCGTGCCCCGGGGCAGAGGATCGAGGGATCGAGGCCGCTGATTGGTCCATTATCCTCCTCCTCCTCCTCCTCCTCCTCCTCCTCCTCCTCTTTCGCCTCCTCCTCCTCCTCCTCCTCCTCCGCTTTCGCCTCCTCTCCTCATTCATCCTCCTCTTTCCTCCATCCTCCTTATCCTCCCCTCCTCCTCCTCCTCCTCCTCCTCCTCCTCCTACTCCTCTCATCATCACAGCATCCTCCTCCTCGTCCTCCTCCTCCTCCTCAACCTCCTGATGCTCCCTCTCCTCCGCCTCCTCTGCCTCCTCCTCCTCCGCCTCCTCATCCTCCTCCTCTTCTTCTCCACCACCTCCTTCTCGTCCTCCTCCCCCACCTACCTCCTCCTCTCGCCTGCTCTCATGCCTCTCCTCCTCCTCTCCTCCTCCTCCTCCTCCTCCTCTCCTCCCCTCCTCCTCCTCCTCACCTCCTCCTCCTCCTCCTCCTTCTTCCTCCTCCTCGGTCTCCTCCTCCTCCTGCTCCTCCCCCCACCCGACTCCCTCCTCCTCCTCCTCCTCCTGCTGCTCCTCCTCCTCCTGCTCCTCCTCCTCCTCCGCCTCCTCCTCCTCTTTCCCCCCCACCTCCTGCGATGGGTTCAGATCCCAACCGGACGCGTGAGATCCCAACCGGACGGGTCAGATCCCAACCGTCTAAAACACCAGGCACGGTCAGATCCCAACCGAGGAGGAACCGAATAAAGAAAACATATTGAAAAGTTACCAGACTTGTCCATTGAAGTCTGACATTGCGATGGACACCTTAAAGGAGCAGATTTACGCCTGAGTGGTTGCGGTTGGGATCTTGCGCGTCTTTTGCTGAACCAAAGTAGTAGTAGTAGTAGTAGTAGTAGTAGTAGTAGTAGTAGTAGTAGTAGTAGTAGTAGTAGCAGTAGTAGTAGTAGTAGTAATAATAATAGCAGTAGTACTAGTACTAGTCCTAGTACTAGTACTAGTACTAGTACTAGTACTAGTACTAGTAGTAGTAGTAGTAGTAGTAGTAGTAGTAGTAGTAGTA